TGTGTACCGACGACCATCACCAGCCATACGCTGCACCGACCGCGGACTGAGATCGAAGATAGGCGCAAGATAGGGTGAATAAAGAGAGAGAGGGATGATGAGAGCCTGATGAAGAGATAGAGATGGATAGGGAGAGGAGAGGGGAGTGATAGAGAGACGCGAAGAGACCCCGATGATGATGATGAGATGAAGATTCCGCACACGAGCCGTCAACGAGATCTGATTGCACCGCACCGACTGATGATACGATTCGGTCTAACCCTTTGACCAGATACGTCTGCAGATATGATGAGAGAGAGAAGGACCCGGTATTCCGATCCGCAGAGACCCGCGGAGGGTAACACCTATAGTACGCCGACTTGATCAGAGCAGACCCGAAGAGTCCAATTTCGCACATCTCCTCCCGTCCTCCGAGCACATTGACGACGCAGAGGAGAAGACTGCTAAACGCACCGCCTCCTCAATGATAACCTGCATCCGGGAGATCCGTGCGCCGCGCACCTGCACGAACCCCTCCCTCCATCTCCTCCCGTCCTCCGCCCGCACCTGCACGAACCCCTCCCTCCATCTCCTCCCGTCCTCCCCCGCACCTGCACGCACCCCTCCCTCCATCTCCTCCCGTCCTCCGCCCGCACCTGCACGCACCCCTCCCTCCATCTCCTCCCGTCCTCCCCCCTCACCTGCACGCACCCCTCCCTCCATCTCCTCCCATCCTCCCCCGCACCTTCACGCACCCTCCATCCATCTCCTCCCATCCTCCGCCCGCACCTGCACGCACCCCTCCTTCCATCTCCTCCCGTCCTCCCCCGCACCTTCACGCACGCATCCCTCCCTCTCTTCCCGTCCTTCCCTCGCTGCCGCCGCCCGGCAAACGCCCGCGCATGGACGTATCCATTCCTCTCCTCCCGTCCTCCGCCACCTCCTACCCTCCTGCCGCCGTGCGGCAAACGCCCGCCCCTGCACCTACCTCTCCCTCCATCTCCTCCCGTCCTCCGCTGCCTCCTCCACCCGCTGCCACCATGCGGTAAACTAAACGCCCGCACTTGAACGTATCCCGCACTTCCTTTCTCAGTCTTCTCCTCCTTTGTCTCTCGCTGCCTCCGCGCAGCAAACGCCCGCACCTGCACATATCCCTCCTCCTCCTCTTCATCCTCGTCCCCATCCTCTTACCGTTACTGCCGCGGCAAGATCCGCACCTGCACGCATCCCTCCGTCCCCTCCATCGCTCCCCCCCCCTGCATGCATCTCTCCCCCGCCTTCCCTCCCACGTTTCTCTATAACGTAACCCCACCCGTCCCCACGCGCGGCTACCATGACGTTCTCTACCCCCACTCCCATTGCTAACCCCGTCCCTCGTTGCTCTCCCTTCCCCACTTCCCCTCCACCTCGCTTTCCCGTACACCGCTACCGGCGGTGTTTCTTCCCTACCACGGCCCCGACTATGTAGACGCAGGAGCGTGTAGTGAGCGTGCAAATCTCCGGGGAAGTCGCCGCCGCCGCCGCGGTGTTCGGCGTGTGTTTATACGCAGGTGACGACGTACGAGCAGCAGCAGCATTAGCCAGCCTGCCGGGAGCTGATCGACGCAGTTAGCAGCAGCGGCGGCGGCGGCGGCGGCCTCTCAGATCTTCCATGTCAAATAAACGCATGATTTTATTTGTTTTCGCGCGCCAACAGAGAGCAGGATGCGTCGGGGCAGAGATCTTCACCCTCTACCCTCTCGTTCCTGCTATCTCTCTCTTTTCTCTTTCTCTCTCTTTTCTCTTTCTCGCTCGCACTTGCCCTATCTTTCTTCCGTTGTCTCACGTGAAGATAAAAGTTATTATTGCAACACGTTCTCCAGCTCTCTTTCTGATCTCCCGTAGCGCCTTGGTGTCAGGCTGCCTGCTTGCTACGTCAGCGTGGCAAAGGGTTTGAGCCGAAATATGGGAACAAAAACCGTCGGATAGTATTTTGTTTAGTTCTCCACTCTTCGTTACACGTGTTCATGGTGGCCGCAGCTGCGGTTATACCGTAAAGCGTACATGAGTAATCTACCCCGTGTTAAGAACAATACCGGCATCCCGAGTACAACGGAATAGCGGAGGGGTCTTCTATTTTCGGCACCACTCGCAAAGCAAGCCTGTGCAAGTTTTAATTCTACTGTGTGTGTGTGTGCGTGTGCGTGCGCGTGTGTGTGCGCACGTATGCGTGCGCGTGTATGTGTGTGCGTGCGTGTGTGTATGTGTGCGTGCGCGCGAGCGTGCGTGCGTGTGTGGGACGACGACGACGACGTCATACTAACCAGGTTGAGCGGATGCAACGAGTTGCCGTCGTGGTTGTCGTCGTCTAGGATAGTCTTGAGATGAGCTATGTAACTGGACGCCAGCCGCAGCGTGTCCAGCTTGGAAAGCTTCGTGTCGGGCGGCACCCACGGCAACGTCGTTTTCAGCCGACCGAACGCCTTGCTCAGCACGCGCATGCGCGCCCGCTCTCGCGCGTTCGCCGCGCTCCTCTGTAACGGTTTCTCCTTTTGTTCCCGATGCTTCTCCTTCGCAGCGTCCTCCTTCTTACGGCGCGCCATATTAGAGAAAGAAGACCACAGCCTCCTTACACCTCACCAGTCACCACGGTGACACACCGCTCATCTAATAATGCGGTTCGTCGATCAGCCCCAGGATGTAGATCGCCTTCGTTGTAGTTTTACGCTAGTCGATCTCGGCTGGTGAGGTTTGCGCGGAGGAGGGTAATAATAGTGTGGCGTAGTTTTCGTTTGCGTCCGTCCAGTCCGTCTACCTCTGTCGCTATCGCTCTCGTAGATTTTATGAGGGTTTCACACTCATTTCACACGTTTCACAATTGCATGAGGCTTCGTCCGTGCGGCTTCCGTGGTGATGTTAGCACTGGAGAGCTGGAGAGACGGTACGCTCGCGGTGGTTAATGTGTCACACACACACACACGCCCGCACGCACGCACGCGTATAGGTCACGCACGGACACGACACGGTGGGTGCGTGCGTATTTCTCCGCACGTTACGATGTAATGTAATCGACATAAAACGTAGACACACAAAATACGACACGCACGGCCACGACACGGGTGGGGGTGGAGCAAGTCTATCTCGTCGCGTCACGGTGTAAAGCAGTTGTCACGAAACGTATAGAGAAAGAATGCGACACGTTTAGTCGACGAGGTGTCGCCGACCGTACGCCGTCATCGCAAACACGTGACTGGTCGCCGAGTTGCTAGCAGACGATGTCACACACGCGCGCGCGCCCCATCGCTAGGGTTACGAGCATCTTATGGACTCCTCCTCAGCTTCCGCCGCGGCGGTACAGACGAAGAGATGCGGAAGCAGGGGCGTGCGCTCCCAGTTAGCATCCCCTGCCAGTTACCAGCTCGGCTCATGCGAATCCACGATCGGGGCCTCGCGGGAGCGGGAGAGGGATCACGGCTGCACCGGCGTGAGGCCCCGACACATGCATGTCGCGGTAGCGGCCGTAACAGAAGCCCCTGCATTAAACGGGTGGGGATCCGCCCACCCGCAGTCCTAATGGCTTTAAGGCTGGGCCAAAGTCGAGCGCTTATGCCAATAATTGCGGGCCGTGAACCGTAAGTGTTTTAGTCTGTAATAATAACACTGATCTGTCACGCAATACGCGCATGCGCGGGCCGCGAGCTGTGACTATGAACGCGGGTGAAGTGGTGGTAAAACATAAGGCGCGGTGCTGCAGCGGTGCCATGTCGTAACTCGCAAGTTGGCACGTGGACCCGCAATTAATGTCGCAAGCAACGCTAACACTGCTATTATCAACCACAGTACATGTCGCACGCACGCACGCACATACTCACACACGCAGGCACGATCACACATGCGCAGACACGATCACACGCACGTGCGCACGATCACACGCACGTACGCACGATCACACGCACGTACGCACGATCACACGCACGTACGCACGATCACACGCACGTACACACGCGCGCGCACAGCAAGATAAACACAAGCAAGTTTGTTGTCGCTACGATTTCTAAATGCGATTCAGGAATAATTCGACATTTGAGGTTTCCTTCGTTTCTCCCGTGCGTTCATCATTCTCATGTTCACTGCTCGTTGGCGCGCGCTGTACGTGTACGTGTGGCTAACTAACACAGCAGCTACGGTGTCAATATGTAGATCGCCTGCCCCGCCGTATACTCGGCATATCTCTTTAAGCCCCCGCAAGAACGCAGAAGCGAAAAAACCGCTCCTGCGTCCTCACGAGTTAATTCTCTGTTTTGGCGAAACGATACGCGTCGGAGAAATCGCGCGCATAGCTTTACATATTAGATGACGACGAGCGTGTCCATGGCGACGGTGGCGCGGGCGGGCGCGGGGACGCGACCACGCACACATGTCATCTCACCTCCGCGGCGAAAATTCACGGGGCAGCGCCAGCGACGGTGCCGCCGTGCCTCCGAATTTCGATATTCGTAATATTTGCGCAAATAAAAAAATTATAAACGGACGATTAATCGTTAATGCGGTCGTTGTTTCATTTATTTCTACAAGCGACGGAGATGAATGCTGTATTACCAAAGACACACGCACGCATACGCGCACACACGCACCCATACACGCGCACGCACACACGCACACACGCCCCCACATACATATGCACGCAGGCATGCCCACACGCGGGCACGCACACACGCATCGCACGCACATACACGCACACACGCACGCGCGCGCAAGTAAACAGAACCGCTTCCCTTCTCGTAGAAATAAGCGAGGCTTCTTTAAAAAGAGTTAAGTGATCGGCGAAGCAAGCAGACAGCTTCATCTCTTCTCTCTCCCTGTCTGCCTGCCTGCCTGCAGCGCGCGATCTACCCACCACGCGGCGTGGTTACACGCAGGGGGAGCGCGCAAAAACAACAATACGACCCGCGCATTCCTGGGGGTTGTCAATTTCTGTTTACGTTGTCTAAGATGGCGTCGGGTCGCTCTCTCTGCCGGCCGGTCCCACAGCTTAGATAAATACACGCGGGTATCAGCGCCGAGACCGACCGGGGTTGAGTGGTACCCGCCGCAGTGACTCCCCCAACGCTCGCTGTGAGTAGAAGTATGCGTGCGTGAGTGCGTGCGTGCGCGGGCGCGTGTGCGCGCGCGTGCGTGCGTGCGGTAGTGTGTGTGTGTGCTGGTGTGTGTGCATGTGTGTGTGTGTGTGTGTGTGTG